TATATGATGCCAAACTTTTGTAGTCAAAATATTTTAATGTATTTTTTTCAATTGATAAAATAATTAATTCACTGTCAATCCTATGTATGACTTTATCAATTTAAATTTAAAAAACAAACCTGCATGAATATTTATTACAAGTATTATTAATAATAATTTTTCAGTTGATAAAGCAGTTAATTCGCTTAATCAAGTTTTATAATATTTCATTAGTTTCTACATCTTTTTAGATGAATAAGTCCTCCATTTATGAATTTTTGATTTAATTTTTTGTTATGTTCTTTGCTCTTCTTTTTTCTACGAAAAGGTTTTTAATGGTTGATAATAGAGTCGTATAGCAATGCTGCTTTGGTTCCCACTACTATAAATTCTTGCATTGGTTATAGGAAAAAATAGAGTAATCCATGCTTTAGTATAGTAAAATTTTTATTGCTTTTAATAAGAGAGAAACTAATGCTCATGTTTAGAGAACGTAGATAGGAGGCCTTTCAGCTACTTTTTTTTTTTTTTTTGAATTATGGAGTTCTTTTGTGAGCCTTGCGTATTGAAATGTGATAGTTTATAAACCAAATAATAAATACATATAGTGGGTGTGGAGATATATTTTTGAGTACCAACACGTGGTAAGGTAACGTCGACGTATCAGTCGAGGTGCCACATGTCCTAGTCAATATGCCGAGATTATCTCGGTTAGGCCGAGGTTATCTCCGAAGATATCGGAATCCGAGATAAACAGATAAGAGATAAGGGATAAGAGTCCTAGAATAAAGAAGAGACTTGATCAAGATAAGGATAAAACTCTTAGAGAGTTTACGCTTACGAAATGTCTGACATCGACCCCGAGGTCACTTGCCACAAACTGAATGTTGACAGGTCGGCCAAACCTGTAATTCAATGAGCCAGAAGACCGACATTGATGCACGTCGAAGCAGTAGAGGAAGAAGTAGACAGACTTCTAGAGGCCAGGGCCATTAGAGAAGTACACTACCCGACATGGCTAACCAATACAGTGGTGGTAAAGAAGAAGAACGGTAAATGGAAAGTTTACGTAGACTTCACCAGCCTCAACAAAGCCTGTCCCAAAGACAGCTTTCCTCTATCCAAGATTGACTAGCTAGTAGATGCCACTTTAGGGCATGGAAGAATGAGCTTCCTAGACGCCTACAGGGGGTACCGCCAGGTAGCCATGTACCCCCCGGACGAAGAGAAGACCTCATTCATCACCCCAAAAGGCATGTACTGTTACAGAGTAATGCCTTTCGGGTTGAAAAATGCAGGAGTAACTTACCAAAGGCTGGAAAGCAAAATGTTCAAACACCTGATCGGCCAAACAGTAGAAGTCTACATCGGCGACATGGTCGTTAAGACCAAGGAACCTGAAGGTCATCTCGCCGACCTAAAAGCAGTCTTTGAAATCCGTAAAACATATCGGCTCCGACTCAATGCATCAAAGTGTGCATTTGGAGTTGGATCTGGTAAGTTTTTAGGATACCTATTGACTAAAAGGGGCATCGAGGCCAGCCCAGATCAAATCAAGGCCATTCTAGAGTTGAAAAGCCCGACATCGGAAAAACAGGTGCAGATGCTAGCTGGAAGGGCCGCAGCCCTGAATAGATTCATCAGCAGGAGCTCAGATAAGTGCAGACCTTTCTTCAACTTGGTGAAGAAAGCCACAGACTTCCAGTGGACAGAAGAATGCAAAGCCGCTTTGGCCGACCTGAAGAAGTACTTGACTACAGCTCCAGTTCTTTCAAATCCAAAACCTGGAGAGGAGTTGTTCCTGTACTTAGCCGTTTCAGAACATGCGATAAGTGCAGTACTAACCTGAGAAGAAAAAGGGGAGCAAAGGACTGTTTACTATGTAAGCAAAACCCTAGCCAATGTAGAAACAAGGTATCTACCCTTAGAGAAATTGACACTAGCTTTAGTAATGGCTTCAAAGAAGTTGAACCATTACTTCCAGGCCCATAAAATTGTGGTGCTAACAGAGCACCCCTTGAAGTCCTTACTGCAACAAGGAGACTTGACAGGAAGAATAGCCAGGTGGGCAGTCACCTTAGGCCAGTATGACCTGGAGTACAAGCCAAGGACAACAATTAAAGGCCAAATTCTGGCCGACTTCGTAGCTGAGTTCACACCAAAATCCATCGAACATCGGGCTCCGTTGAGCCAGGATGAACGATGTCCAGACAAGTAAGGAGAAACCCAAGGAAAGGCGAAAGAACAAAAAAAAGAAAAAAAACTCAAACCCTACAGCATTTACATCGGCGACTCCTTTCAACTGTTCGTTGATGGGAGTTCAAACCGACAGAGAGTAGGGGCAGGCATAGTGTTGATATCCCCAGATGGGCAGGTACTAGAACAATCAATTCGTTTGGGGTTCAAGGCCTCAAATAATGAAGCAGAGTATGAAGCACTCATTGCAGGACTGAAGTTGGCAGCAACAGTGCAAGCAGATGAGGTAATAGTTTTTTGTGATTCACAACTGATAGTCAACCAGACAACAGGCGAGTTTACAGCCCGAGATGAACGAATGTCGGCCTACGCAAAGGAAGTCATCAGACTGTCAGCCTTGTTTTAGAACTTCCGACTACTTCAGGTAAGTCGAGATGATAACAGCCACGTCGATGCGTTGGCCAACCTAGCTAGTGCAGTACAACCTGGAAAAGCAAAGACAATAATGATTGACTACCTGTCGGGCCCGAGCATTGAACCAGTAACCACAGAGCATGAAGCAATGTGCGTAGACATGGGACCAAGCTGGATTTGTTGCGTTCCTAAAAGAAGAAAAGCTGCCAGATGACCGCAAGGAGGCACACAAGATCAGATTGAAGTCGGCAAGATTCAGTTTAACAGCAGAGGGACACCTCTACAGAAGATCCTTCACTGGACCCCTTTTAAGGTGCGTACATCCTTTACAAGTTGAAGATTTTTTATATGAAATTCATGAAGGAATTTGTAGAAGCCATGCCGGGGGTAGATCACTCGCCCATAGGGCTATTACCTAGGGGTATTGGTGGCCTTACATGCAAAAAGATGCAGAAACCTACGTGAAGAAGTGTGAACAATGCCAAAGGTTTGCACCTTTGATACACTAGCCAGCTGCTGACCTGAACCTTGTATCCAGTCCTTGGCCATTTGCCCAATGGGGCATGGATCTCATTGGGCAATTACCCCAAGCAACTGGACAAAGAAAGTACTTGCTGGTAGCAACGGACTACTTCACAAAATGGATAGAAGCTGAACCTCTTGCCAAAATCTGAGATGTGGATGTAAAGAACTTCATTTGGAAAAACATTATCACCAGGTTTGGGATTCCAAGAGCAATTGTTGCAGTCAATGGAACTCAATTTGACAGTAAGCTAATCAAGAGCTTCTGTGCAAGGTTCAAGATTAATAACTACTTTTCAACCCCAAGCTTTCCACAAAGCAATGGACAAGCAGAAGCATCCAACAAAGTAATTATGGATGGAATAAAGAAGAGGCTGCAGGCAGCAAAAGGCAAGTGGGTAAACGAATTACCCAACGTACTTTGGGCATATCGGACTACGCCGAGAAGATCAACAGAGGAATCCCCTTTCGCTATGGCTTATGGCACAGAAGCAGTCATTCCACTGGAAATCGACATCCCAGGAATCAGAACCTAGGGAGTAGAGAACGGGACTAATGATGTACTCTTAGCCCGAGATCTAGATCTTTTAAAAGAAAGAAGAGAGAAAGCTACAATCCAGCTCGCAGTATACCAGCAGCAACTTGCAAAAGCTTATAACAAAAAGGTCAATCCAAGAGAATTTCAAATTGGTGACCTCGTCCTAAGAAAAGTCGTCGGCAACAAGAAGGATCCCAGAGAGGGCAATCTTGGCCCAAATCGGGAAGGACCCTACAGAATCATCTCGGTATTGGGTAATGGGGCATATCGGCTTGAAGATAATGAAGGCAAAGAGTTGTCAAGACCTTAGAACACTTGTAGTTTGAAATTTTTCTATCATTAGAATTTCTTTGTTCCTTTGCCATTTGCCGAAGTAAATAAATAAAGATTCAGTTCTCTTTTCAAGATACTTGACATTGTCTCTAGAATACATACATAATGAAAACCCAAGTGAACTCAGGTTCATATTTGGGGGCAGAGAGAAGAAGAATATGTTTAACACTTGTTGAAATTTGTGGACAATTTACAAGTTGAAATTAAGCTGAAGTCATTGTTTAACATTTTTTGAAATTTGTGGACAATTTACAAGTTAAGTTAAACTGAAATCATTGTTTAACACTTGTTGAAATTTGTGGACAATTTACAAGTTGAAGTAAACCGAAACCATTGCTTAACACTTGTTGAAATTTGTGCAGGTTCACATTAGGGGACAGAGAGAAGACAAAGATGTTTAACACTTGTTGAAATTTGTGGACAATTTACAAGTTAAGTTAAACCGAAATCATTGTTTAACACTTGTTGAAATTTGTGGACAATTTACAAGTTAAGTTAAACCGAAATCCTTATTTAACACTTGTAGAAATTTGTGGACAATTTGTAGACAATTTACAAGTTGAAGTTAAACCGAGATCATTGTTAACACTTATTGAAATTTGTAGCAATTTACAAGTTCAGTTAAACCGAGATCATTGTTAACACTTGTTGAAATTTGTAGCAATTTACAAGTTAAGTTAAACCAGTATGGTGTTCAACACCTGTTAAAAGTTTACAAGTTAAGTTAAATCGAGAAGTTTGTTTATCCAAGGTGTGTCACCCCGAGAAGATTGCATAAAGAAAAAAAACTATGTTAAAGACATGCAGAATATTCTAAAAAGCAGTCAAAGAGAACACAAAAGTACAAGCACTCAGTAAAGGAAAGTTGTATTAGCATTCAACAAAAAGGAGGCACATCGGCCATATGGAGGGCTTACATTGTTTCAAAAACAAAGAAAAACAAAGTACAAAAGAAAAGACACGAAAACTAAGATTCCTCAGCATCGGCAGTAAGTTGGGTTGGGACCTCGGAAGACTGTTAAGGAGTCACCTCGGCCGCTTTCTCTGCTGCAAGCTCAATATCAATCTCTTGCAAGGTTTCGTCAAGGCTCTTATTAGCAATGGTGACGTCGGTTGATGCCTTCTCAGGAGCAGCGTCTTCAGGAATCTCATCACCTTCCTTATCTTGAGTCAAGTCTGGGACTTGCTCATTTTGAGAAGGGGCCTTGACCCCAGCAACATCTTTTGGCTTCCTCACCGAAATCTCCTCCTCAGATTCAGAATCACTACCAGATTGAGCAAGAGTTGGAGTTGGGACTGGAGGGAATAAGAGAGGAATGAGGTCCGCATTTCTGAAGGGCGAGTCCTCGGGGACATTAAGCTTCTTTAGAAGAGACATCCAACCAAGGGTGAAACTCTCGTTGCATGCCTGCTTCACTTGAATTTCATAAGCCTCCGTGACGTCGGCCATACCTTGAGCATATACCTTCTTATCGGCATCCTTGATTTCGGCTTCTTTCGTGGCCAAGGCCTCTTGAAGCTCTTTTTGGGCCTGCTCCATCTTTTTCTCGGCCTCTCTTTTTTGGGCCTCAGAGACCCTCCTAATGGCCTCAGCAAATTCGGCTTTTTCTTCAGCATCGGTTTGGGCCTTAATGGCGGCCTCGGCCTGGTCTTCCAACTTCTTCATTTTTGACTGTAAGCCTTTATTGGTCTTTTGAAGAGAAGAGAACTCCCTTTTCATCTCGGCCAACTTCTCCCGGTTCTCAAAAGACTGAATTGAGAAGGAATGAGCATGCTGAATGGCTTGAAATCAAACAAAACGAAGGTTATTAGAAAATTTCTAAGTATAAAAAAGAAGGAAAAAAGTGCCAGATGAAAGACACTTACTTGAACAGAACGCTAAAGCATCAAGGCATAGTTCTTATACTCACTGAACTCGGCGTTTCGCTCTAGATCGCTTGGAAGAAGTAGAGCAGTACTGAGCGCAACGCCGACATTGATATCATTGGCGTTATCGTTGGCCATGACTGGCTTATCTTCCAAGGTAATTTCGGGGGCCCAAGGGGCAGCAGGTTTCTTAGACCCCGAGGTCGTTGCAGAAGATGACCTCGACTTTTTTGATTTGGGCGATTCGGATGGTTGGGCTTCAGAGCGCCTCTTCCCAGCAGAGGGTTGAGATTTGTCACTCTCAGCCAACTTGGAGATTGGCAGAGCATCCTCAGACTCAATTTGAGTAACTTTAGCCTTTGGCTGAGCCTTTTTTATTCTTTTCGGCTTCGGTGGAGGCAGGGTTTGTGTTGGTTGTGCATCAACATCAGAAGGGATGCTGGCCAAGAGATCTTTTGTAACTGGTTTAGGGTGACCCATCTCGGCAGTAGAAACTGATCGGCGTCGACGGTGGCGTTGGGATATTGGAATCAAGTATGAAGCCGAAGTTGACGGTTGCTCGGCTGGATTGGAGGTTGATCCTTGGTCTGTCTGAGATGTGGATGCGGTCTGTGGCGTTGTGGCAGAAGGTGGAGAAAGGCTTTTCTTATTCCTCTTAGGGACGTCGGGCAAAGCTGACTTGTACGTTGGAATAAAATTGAGAAGCAGAGGCGCCATTCGTTTATGAACTGGCAGGTCCAAGAGTCTCTTCAAATCCTTGCTGGGAACGAAGGATTGGCGAAAGTTCTTTGGTGGCTTAGGAACAGCTGCAAGAAAAACAAACACTAAGAAATAGATAAAGTATGAAAGACTTTAAAAAATAAGTAGGTATGAATGCAGGGCTCTTACCATTGCCCTCTACAAAGACTGATCGAAGGAAAGGGAAGAGGTGAAGGTCTTCATCTGGGGCGAACTCCCAGTTCCCTGAAGTAATGAAATAATCATCCCCAGCTCCCTTGTTGGAGTCAGGGAGGTCGGCGACAATTTTGTATTCGGTGGACCTTGGCTTAAGGTAGTAAACGTAATCGGTGTCTTTTTTGAGGCCACACATAGTGTAGCAATACTGGATATCGGCTAATGTGATCCTAGCGTTCTCTTGTTTTGCTAAGGCTATGATACCATTGATGGTTCGATAGGAGTTGATGGAAAGTTGCATTGGGTTCAACTTGTAATAATGAAGTATTTCACGAAAAAGGATGTTGAGTGGGAGCCGAAGTCCACACTCAATAAAGGCTACCACAGGGAAGAGCATGGAGTGATCAGTAGGCATGATGGAGTCATCATCTCCAGCCAACCTCAGATGGACGTCGGCTGGGATTTCAAACTCTTGTCTAAAGAATTCTAGTTTGGATGGGGTGTTTACTCTATGTTTCCACATACCCATGATGTCGGCTTGAATGGAGATATCGGATTTCAGAAAGAAGTATTTTTGGAATGTTTAAAAGACCTCGGCTAAAAACCTAAAAGTACACTTTGATAAAGGTTTGTATGGATCTAGAGGAAGTTCGTTTCAGTTTTTTCCTAAATTATGGGTTCTACAGACAAATCCCAAAACCTAAGTCTATGGAATCGAAGACTGAAGGCACGAATCTGGAAAATGCACAAAAAATAGAAACAAGAACGAGTTTCAGAATCAAGAACAGAGATGGTCTATCAAGAGCATAAAGAATAAAAGAAGTATAGGGCCAAGAACAGTGACAAAAATACAGAGAAGTGGTGAAACAGTGCGTGTGTTCAAGATATGGGCAAGGGCAAAATCATGGAAAAAGCACAATCAGATGGATGATTCACAAGTTAAAGGTTTGAACAAATGCAGTAATGGCAGTGAGTAATAGAAAGCATCAAAGAATGGAAAATGAAAGGAACAATAAACTTACTGAAGAAAAGAAGTCGGTGTAAGGATCGCCGAAGTCAGACAATGGTTGCAGAAGTAACAGAAATGGCGGAAGCTTCACCAGAAGGAAGAATGAAGGCAGTTGCAGAGCTTGAGATTCGGAACAATGGCGTATTCAAGAGTTAGAGAGAGAAAAAGCAAAGGAATCGATGTAAAAGTGAAGAACACGAAAGAAGAAGGAAAAAAGTTTTGTCAAAAACTTGAAACGGCGGCAAAAGAGGGAAATTAATGCGCCTGGGACAACGTGAGCGTCAGACGGCGCATGTATGTGCGAGACGATTAATGAAGCACGTGCCAAGTACAATCCAATAAGAAAGGGACATGTAGCTGAAACAGTTGAATTGTGGTATATGACAGCTCATACGCGTGAAAGGGTTCTTGAAGTTCTTGTTCTTTAACAAAGACATGTCGGCCAACATAATGATCTCGACTGAGATACTGTAAACCGACGTACTGGAAGGACGGAATGATATAGGTTCCATCACCTCAGAATACCGAGGTAATAGAACCTAGGGAGCAGTTGTGGGGATATATTTTTGAGTACCAACACGTGGCAAGGTGACGCCGACATGTCAGCTGAGGTGCCACGTGTCCTGGTCGATATGCCGAGGTCATCTCGGTTAGGCCGAGGTTATCTCCGAAGATATCGGAATCCGAGATAAACAGATAAGAGATAAGGGACAAGAGTCCTAGAATAAAGAAGAGACTTAGCCAAGATAAGGATAAAGCTCTTAGAGAGTTTATCTTTATCTCTTGAGGAGTCCAAAATAAGTACTGAACATGAATCCATAGAAGTCAGGCTTCTATTGGGATTATGATTCGGTAACTATAAAAGAGAGGCACTCCCATGGGTCTAAGGTACGCAATTTATATTCTGTCTAGTGAGTTAAGCACTATTGATTATCTTTGAGAGATATACTGACTTGATCGTCGGGGTGCCCCTGGGTGGATGAACCACCATCGGAATCTTCTCTTTCTGTTATAGGTTAGCCAGGCGTCATCTATTCTGCTAGTGTTCTCCAGCTGAATACTGAGCTGGGCAGTGTGATTGGAAAATCACTCACATAGTGGGTGTTTGGAAAGTGAGTTTTTATATAAGTTTTTTTAGTTGTAAGATATTATTGGAGAAATTTTTTTTTGTGTTTGGGAAGATAGTTGAGTTTTTTTGTGGTTGGATGTGATGTTTGTGAGAGAAAAAGTGAAATGATTATGGGGTTAAATGTGATATTTTGTTTGGATGTGTTTTTTTGAGTTTTGCAAAAAATTTGTCTTTTTATAAAAAAATAAAAAAAAACCCAAGTTCTAGACTTCCTAATGAAATTTGAAGGCCTTTTATTAGTTTGGGGCGCAAGACAGTGGCCCTAATAGGCTTGCACTTGGATTGACTCTGGGTGCACCTGTAGCACCTAATAATTAGTGTACATATTTTTATGTGTGGGTATTTGTTAAAAAAATAGACTAACAATGCTAATTGAAATAGAATATCCTTGGTAGGACTTAGCCTCAAATAATTCTTAAAAAAAAGTGACCTAAATTGATATGGGATACTTGAATGAAGAAAATTAATTAATGGAACTAATTTTACTTGATTAGAGCACAAAACTTACTTTTGATTTAGTTTGGTTTGATATTAGAAATTGAATGATCACAATAACGAAAAGGCCATAGCTTCTTTGTAGTCCTCGAATTGGAGAGATGCCGTTGGATTTTGTAGGTTTATTTTTGGGTTCTGTTTTGATAATCTAAACTGTTACATTTTAAGGTTTGTTAAGTATATCGTTCCTGTAAAATTCAAGTTGATCGTATAACCGCAATCTTGTGTTTATATCAATTTTGTATGAAAAAAAATGGACGGTGAGAAAATAAACGGTTTATACAAAATTGATTATAATACTTAGTTTCGTTATCCGATCGAATTGATTTTTTGCGGGAATAATATTATTGATGAATCTTAAAATGTGAACGATTCAAATTATCGAAACGGAATTCAAAAGTGAATCCATTGAACTAGACTGCTGAACTGTCCAGTCTAATTACAGACGGGAGGCCGTCTGATTCCTAAAGAAAATATATGTACACAAATAATGAACAAAAAGATATGCGGAAGTGTGTGTATAAACTAATTGATTTTTGTTATAAAGTAAGGTGCAAACAAAGTTAACAAAAACAAACAAACAAACAAGAAATATGAATCAAACTCACCTTGCTCAAAACTCTTCTCCCATAAAACACTGAATCTTTAGCCACTGTTCCATTGAAAGATGGATTGGAATGAACATAAATTGAGTAAAACCCTTCATGACCTTCAAAAAATTTCTCCCAAAGGGGGGCCAATGGTAAATCTCCTCTTACCAAAAACAAGAAAGCAATCTTTTGGACAAGCTTGAATGGAAACTGTTGAATTCGAGGAAGCATTGAAGCTCTCCATATCAACTCTTCATCTTCCATGTTGTGCATAGCATTAGGTGGTGACTTCAAATTTTCTATTGAGCCAAACGAAAAGCTTCTTTCAAAACTTTCTGTTTGGTTTGAGATTGAGATTGTTCGGGTGGTGTTTGGGAATGGTGGTGGGGGTGGTGGTGGTGGAGGTGGTGGGGCAATTGAGAGTTGATTGAGGTTAGAGATGAAGGGGAAACTTCTGAGGTAGGGACTAAATGTGATTCCAATGGTTAAACCAGTGCTGAAGAGAAAGAAATTGCTCAAGAGGGTCCAAGAAGGCAAAAGGGAACTGAACACATTGGTTGTTGGGTTTTGTTTCTGATCTTTCTTCATTATTGAGAGAGAGATAGATTTTCCACAGTGATATCAACAAATCACACGAGCCTTTTAAAAAGAATAGCAATGGGAAATATGTCAATAATGCACACTTTAATAGAGTTTACTATTTTGGGCGGGTTCGTGTTTTGAGTATTAATACTCGTACTGTAAAAAAAATATGTGAGCAAATTTATTTTTATGAGCAAAATGAGGTGGGACTGGGATTGTGGTGCCCTCTCATCTCCCCATTTCTTGTCAGGGTGAGGATGGGATATGAAAAATTGGAAAGAAACAACCTGCCTTGTCATTTAATAAAAGTGCCTCTGTTTCTCTTGCACCATTTGATCTCATTCATTCTGATATTTGGGGACCCTCTCCAACTCCATGATGTGATAATAAAATTTTGAAAATATAAGTCACTTTATTCTATATTAACTTTTATGGCAAATTACACTAATAGTCCCTATAGTTTGAGGCTTGTGTTACTTTAATCCATGGCTTTTTAATTGTGACACATTTGATCTTGAATTTTGAATCTTGTTCCAAATAAGGACAATCGAACATACCATTGTTTAATTTCAAGGGCAAAATCATTAATTTGATAAAATATAAACTAATTTGACAAAAATAAATGTCAAAAAAATATTTTAAAAGTTATTTCTACCCACCAAAAATAAAATTATGTAAAATTGATAAAAATTAATTTTACATGATCATCATCCAAATACATAATAAAAATTAATTTGGTAAAAAAAATAAATGTCTAAAAGATTTATCAATTTTATATAATTTTATCTTTAGTAGTTAGAAATAATTTTAAAAAATTCAAAAATAAATTTTTGACATTTATTTTTGTCAAATTAATTTATATTTTATCTAATTAACGATTTTGCCTTTGAAAAATCAAATAGTATCTATAATTGTCCTTATTTGGAACAAGATTCAAAATTCAGAATCAAATGTGTTACAATTGAAAAGTTAGAGACCAAAATGACACAAATCCCAAACTATAGAGACCATTAGTGTAATTCACCATAACTTTTACGTGTAGATTTTCTACTAATTTGATAGACTTCTTATTTTAAAGTGATAAAATAAAAAATTTGTAAAATCATTATGTCTTTATATATAATTTTTATATTTGTATAGCACTCCTCTTAATATAATTAGGAGGAAGTAAGGTTGAAAAATGGAAAATGTCTCGTAACTCAAATTTTGCGACTCAAAAGTGGCTCAAATGGCCAAAACGACGTCGTTTTGGCCATTTTTATGTTGTTCTGTACTCAAAACGACGTCGTTTTGACTATTTAAGCCACAAAATTTGAGTTACGTAGTATTGTCGGTTGAAAAACAGGGTAGGATAATCAAATCATGTTCCCGTTCTATTTTCTCACCAGAATGAGAAAAATTCAACTAGTCAAAACGTGAAATACGAGGTGAATGGATAGTTTTTATGATTGTAATCAACAATAATGTGCAATTCTCAATACTCAAAATAATCAAATCACAAAAAAAAAAAAAAAAAATCAATCTCAAAATTCAAGATGACATAACCGCATTTGAATAGTCCACATTAATGTTACGTCCCATAAGCACATCATGTAAGACATGTAAATATTAATTGGTGATGAGAAATATCGATTTAAAATTAATGTCATGGTCCATAGGCATATCAATAACACATGTCAATATTAATTGGTGATAAAAAAAGCAAAGACAAAACTATGACCTGAAATTTCTTATCACCAATTAAGAAAAATAAGTTTATAATATTGAAATTGAAAGCTCATTATTAGCTTCCCAAAAAGCATGACATCCTATGAGGCTGCGTATCACTTGTCCTAATTCTTGTGTCCCATCTCTCTGTGCCATCCTTCCAAGGTTACCACCTCGCCACACTTGAATTCAATCTAAATTTTGTTACTTAACGATACGAGTAATACTATATGCTGAAAAATAATGATTTTTTGACAATTTTAATTCAAAATTAAAGTGAGATTTAATTACCGATTGAGGTAGGTCTGAGTATTTTGTATTCTCTTAAGTGAAAAAATTACAATATAAAAATGATGGACCGAAATCATTGAGTTGTGAATGAGAATTGTCTCATAAAGTGAATATCAATAGTAGTTAGTCTTAGTTTGGAATATGCCTAGGTTTGTACTTGTGCATGTGTTAGGTTTGGTCTTAGAGTTGGACTTAGTCTTAAGTTTGGGTTAAGTTGTGTTGTGTTGGGTTTAATTTGTGCATGTATTTGAGGTTGGGCTTGGATTGAGTTGTGACCCAATACCCGTATCCGTTTTGTTATCTATCAAATTTGAATAGCATTATATACATATTTAAGTATATATATTATGTACATGAGAGTTTTGTACCTTTGTAACTCTAGCTCTAATGGCTAGAGGTAACAGCCATTGATGCTAAGTTTTATAGTAGTTTTTATGGTTAAGACCCCTTCCTACAAGTATAAAAAAGACATTTCCCCTCCAATTTAGGTATATGATATAGAAATATTTTGAGATGAAAAATCTATGATTTTTTTAAATAAAGTTTGAGATGATTTTTATACTAAAGAAAAAAAATTTTATCTTCTTTTTGCTAATCTGTTCTTTGATTTTGGTTGGAGAGTGTTGCTATTGTCAAGTTCACCGAAGCTATTCAGAAGGTGCTCATACATAAGCTGGTTTCGACTGTCGCATTCTAGGAGGCAGATGCCAGCGTATCTCCAACACTCATCAAGAGGCGATGAATATGTTTTAAAGAAATTGTAGCATTATACAGGTTTCGGTTTGTATCATTTATCTTTTATTCTTCAAAGTTTTAAATTTAAATAATTTCTCATTTATTATTTTATATGTTCATTTGAATCCATCTTGTAATATATTTCATGATGTGATCTATTTCATTCCTTTATTTTTTTTAGTTCGGTAGTTTATTTTATACTTTATTCTTTAATAAAAGAAAATAATTGTTTTGTCATTTCTATTTAATTTTATTTTATATATTTTTCTAGTATTATTATGGAAAAATATCAACAATCTTAAAACAGATTCATTATAAATAGTTTTAATAAAACAATTTAATTTTTATTTTAATTTATTCTGCTAACTCTTAGAATTAAAATTAATTTAATTGCCTAGAATTATTGGATTGTTTTAAGTTGTTTATTTCTACATAAAATTATTTTATGTTAATTAGTTAGTATTGCATGAGTTATTTGGTTGTTAGTGTTTAAGTTGTTAGGAGTTTATAAAAATAAAATAAGAATTTTATTTCTTAAAATTCTTACTAATTTATTTCATTTGTTTGTTATTTATTTTGTTTTGTAGCTAACTTTCTCTATAGGTTTACCAAGTTCGAACACTACAACAAAAAGCACTTTTGGCGACCAAATTTGGCGACTAAAAAAAATTTAGTCGCCAAAACTTGTGGAATTGGCGACTAAAAGTTTTTTAGTCGGCAAAAGTACAATATTTAGCTACTAATTTTTTTTAGTCAGGAAATATTGATTATTGGGGACTAAAAAAAGTTTTAGTTGCTAAAAATGCCCACAATTGGCGACTGAAAAATGTTTTAGTCGCTGTATAGATAGTTTTGGCTACTAAATTTTTTTAGTTGCCGAATGAAAAACAAAAAATTACTTTCAAACTTTTAGCGACAAAAAATTTTGTCGTCAAAAATTTATTTTTAGCGACTAAACAATATTTTAGTTACCAAAGAATTAAAATATTTGGAGGGAAAATTTCGAATTTTGGAGGGATTTATAAAATTAATTGGCGACCAAAATATTTAGTCGCCAAAATACTACTTTTAGCGTCTAAAACAATTTTAGTCGGCAATAGTATATAATTTAGGCTAAAATAACATTTAGTCAGATTTTTCGCACCCTTTAGCGACTAAAATAATATTTAGTCGCCAAATGGCATGAAATTATGCCTTTCCCGACAAATAAATCATTTAGTCGTGGAAGCTCAAAATTTTATAGAGGTAGTAATTTCAGATTCGCACCTCTGTCGGTTCCCGTAAGCCGCATATTAGCACCGCCACCGCCGCTAGCAGGTTCGCTCTCTCACTCCCTTTCGCTTTGTTGCTCTCTGTCTCGCTCTAACTCTCTCTATCTCGTTCTCTCTCTACCCCTTCTTCTATTTCCCCAACTGTGAACTCTTGCTCTAGGGTCGTTTATTCTACCCATTCAGTTTAATTTTGTCTTCACTTCTGAAATGGGTTTGTTTGAAGTGGTTTCATTACTAGAATTTTATGGGTTTAATGTTGTAAATGGGTTTGATTTTAGGGTTTGATACCTTTCTCCCTATTTTTCCATTCTCTTCAGTATAATATATCATTTCCTCTTGTGCTTAGTTTCATTTGCAATCAGACAGATTGAAAGAAAATGGAGTACTAAATTCCACTTAATCTTGCATTGGTTAATATGTTGATTTTCATTTTTACATCCTGACTGTAGGTGGTCAGCGCTATCGAGATGGGTGCACTGCTCAAAATATGAGGTCACTTAAAATTCTCAGTAACTTTTACTCCATGTTCTTCACCAGTGGCTAGATTTTATAAGGAGAACAAAGTTGTGAATGGTTGAGTTTAGATTTTACTGCATTAACAATGAAGAATCAAATGTCATGATTCTTATAATATAATAGTGAAGAATAAAATACTTGTGATCATTAAGTCTTGTTGACGGTTGTAGGGGTAGATGTCTGGGATTGTTAGTAGTCCACATGCTTCATAAATGTTTTTAATAAACAATACCAATTCAAAAGAAAAAAAACTTAGTATCTTCATACCAAATGTGAAGTGTTAACAACCCATATTTTGAAAGATATGTTTCCTGCCTATGCATTGTTGTTCACATATTTAAATTTGGCATTTCTATCGAAGAAAAAAGAAAGAAATAGAAGTCTACCCTGCATAGATAGAATCCATTAGTATTTCCTTTGATTCATTTCTCCCTGTCATATGTTTTCCTCTTTGTCAATTCAATAGTGCTTTAAAGAGGTAGTTTT